GTGAGTGGGTGGGTGGATGAGTGGGTGGGTGGATAGATGAGTGGGTGGGTGGATGAGTGGGTGAGTGGATAGGTGAGTGGGTGGGTGGATAGGTGGGTGGATGGATGTGTGGATGGTTTGGTGGGTGGGTGGATTCATAGTTGAGTGAGTGGGTGGGTAGATGGATGGGTAGATGGGTGGGTGGATGGATGGAAGGGATTACACAGTCCCTTCACTGATGACACCTTATTCCTGCGTAGATATGTGCACTACTTCAGTGGCCTACTCTCTGGCTCCATCAAAATGAACAACAAGCCTTTGTTTCTGCATCATGTGATCATGCACGGCATCCCCAACTTTGAGTCTAAAGGAGGTACCTGTTCCATCCCTTCCCTCCAGCCTCTCTTTCCTTCTTGGTGGCCTTGGGTGGTAAGCTGTAGTGTCATCTGGGCTTATGTGGGGCTCTCAGCAGAGCTCAGTGAGCTCAACCCTACGCCTCTGTAATGTCAGGTTGACACCTGGTCATGCCTAGTGGCAGACGACGATGGAGGAGTCGATGTTTTGTCCATTTAAAATGCCTTAGAAGGGAAGTTAGACTTTCTTTATGTTCTTGTTTCCTTCTCTTTCTCTTTCTCTTTCCCTCTTTGCCTTCCCTTTGCCCCTCATCCCTCCAATCATCCTGGTTCTAACAGCACACTCCCTTCCCTTCTCTGACAGGGTGCCGGCCCTTTCTCCGCATCTACCAAGCCATGCAACCTGTGTACACGTCTGGCATTTAGTAAGTAGTCTGTGAGGGAGGATGGGTGGGGCAGGAGGAAGGGAGAGCTGAGGCTGTTTCCTCAGCAGAGCTCCCTCATCACCTCTCTCCCTCAGCAACATCCCTGGAGACAGCCAGGCCAGCATCTGTATCACCATTGAACCAGGGCTGCTCCTGAAGGGAGACATATTGGTGAGCTCCACCCTCCTCCTCAAGGGTCCCTTCTCTTGTCTTGTTCCTGCCCTACCCTGGGGACATGGGACGTGCACCTGTTCCCCTGTAAGCCATTGGGTTTAGAACTGTGGGTTCCTATATCCCTCACATGGTCATGGTCTAACTTCCTTCCTTGGAGAGGATATTCTTCTCCTAGCCTCATCTCTTGCTCTGGGACATCTCCAGGGAACTGCCACTCAGTGTGAACTGTGACCTTCTAGCTCTAGACTGGTGACAAAGACATTCCCAGTCCTAACGCCAATCCCGCTTGCTGTAGTTTAAGCTCACATTTCCTTTTTGTATGCCCAACTATATGCAGGAACATCTGGGAGGGCATTTCCCGCAATGCCAGACTGTTCCCTTCCTCTTCTGTTCTAGAAGTTTTCCAAAGAGCTCTGAGATCTTTTTTGGTATTGGTGACCTTTCTCTCGTGGGTTTGGGGTGAAACTTGGGACTCAGCTGATGAAGCCAGTCAGGAGGCTCCCTGAGACTTGACCTTTCCAATCCTTTCCCCCTTCCCATCCAGCTGAAGTGTTATCACAAGAAGTTCCGGAGCCCAGCTCGAGACGTCATCTTCCGAGTGCAGTTCCATACCTGTGCCATCCATGACTTGGGGGTTGTTTTTGGGAAGGAAGATCTGGATGAGGCGTTCAAAGGTGGGCTCCCTGACATGGGCAGGATGGGGTTCTTGTAGCAGGGGAGGAGCCCAGTGTGAGATGCTGTAGCTGATGCAGGGACCGTCTTCTCTGAGCCATGTGGCCTGTCAAGTCTCAGGGATGACAGTGTGAGGCACTGAAGGACAATATGACCAGTCAGGACTGAGGTTGGGGTGGTCTAAGAATTCAGGTTGTAAGAGAGACCAAGATCAGTTCCCTTCTGGTCCATTCCCACACCTCAGGACCTCTGGGATGTTTTGTGTCTCCCACCTTTCTCTAGGGCTTGCTCCATGTGCCTCCTTCATTTTCTATCTGCCTTGTTCCGTGTGACCATCGGGAGTCAGTTTTCTAGCATTTTGAGGGGTCTTAATATTGGGATCAGTATTAAGTGCTGGAATCAAAGTGAAACATGATGTAGTTTCTGTCTTGATAACGTTAAAATGTCTTGTGAGGCCAGCTGAGGCAGGAAACGAGTATCCCTCAGGAGTGGGGGGACATGTATGTAGGGATGGTGGCAATAAGGAGGAAGAAATTTGGTCGGGGGATGGTGGAATCGTTTACCCACTTAAGGTTCAGTCTGAATCATCTTCAGGCCTAGAAAACACACACACACACACACACACACGCACGCACGCACACACGCACACACACACACGCACACACGCACACACACACACATGCACACACACACGCACACACACGCGCACACACACACACGCACACACACGCACACACACACACACGCACGCACACGCACACACACACGCACACACACACACACACGCACACACACGCACGCACACACACACGCACACACACGCACGCACACACACACACGCACACACACACGCACACACACACACGCACACACACACGCACACACACACACACACACGCGCACACACACACACACACACACACACGGATTCATGCCTGCATCCATTTCCATATTCATTCCCTTACTTACCTATTAGCACACCATTCATTCATCTACCTTTCATCTGTCCACTTGCATATCTGTTCTGCTATCTACACATTGGTCTGTCTGTGTATTCATCCATCCATCTATCCACCCATCCATCTATCTACCCATCCGTCTATCCATCGTCCATCCATCATCCATCCATCATCCATCTATCTGCACAGTCACTCACCTGCTAGTGCGCGCATGCATTCACCCACACATACATTCACTATCCGTCCATTAACATACCCATTCACCTATCCACCCATCTACCAAGCATCACTTGTGTGTTAAAACATGATAGACATGTTCTAGCTCTTGGAGATACAAAGAGAAAACAGTTAAACCTCACCTTTGAGAGTCCATGGTCTCATGGAAGAAACACAAACAAGAGTTAATTGGTGTGCATAGAGATGAATACACTCATAGCATGATGGTGTCCTACAGAATAGATGTCACCGTTGTTGGAATCTCTTCCAACAAGCAGTGATTGGTGATCTGGGCCACTCGAGGCTCAGGCAGAAAACACGGAGGGGCCAGATCAGAGGAGGGGTGGCCCTCTGTGTACTTTGACACGTGGTGAGAAGGTTGTTCTGTGAGACCTCTTTGCATCTAAGCCAGGAGGACCAACATGGAAGGCCTCGTGAGTTTCAGGACAGATTATGATCAGTCTTGAAGGGAGATGAAGGTAGAGCTGACAAAATCAAAAGGAGGTTGAGGAGACACAGAGGGAAGTAGTATGGGGGGGTTCCCAGTGTCCGTGTGCATAGTGCTAGTCTGGAGAACCATTGAGAATCATTAGACCCACAAACAGAAGCCTTGCCGATATCCATCCTAGTTAGGGTTACTAGTAATGTGATAAAGCACCATGACCAACTTGGATTTTGCCTTAGTTGGGGTTTCCATTGCTGTGAACAGACTCCATGACCAAGACATCTCTTATAGAGGACAACATTTAATTGAGGCTGGCTTACAGGTTCAATGGTTCAGTCCATTATCATCCAGGCAGGCATGTCACTGGAGGAGCTGAGAATTCTACATCTTGATCAGAAAGTCTCCAGGAGACTGTCTTCTAGGCATCTAGGAGGAAGGTCTCCAAGCTCACCCCCAAAGTGACACTCTTCCTCCAACAAGGTCACACCTCCTAATAGTGCCACTCCCTGGGCCAGGAATATTCAAGCTATCACAGGCCTGGAAGCAAGTTGGGGAGGAAAGGGTTTGTTCAGGTTATGCTTCTGCATCACAGTTCATCGTCAAAGAAAGTCAAGACAGGAACTCAAGCAGGGCAGGAACCTGGTGGCAGAAGCTGATGCAGAAGCCATGATGAAGTGCTGCTCACTGGCCTGTTCCTCATGGTTTGCTCAGTCTGCTTTCTTATATAACCCAGGACCACCAGCCCGGAGACGGCACCACGCACAATGGGCTGGCCCTCCTCATCAATCACTAATTAAGGACATTCCCTCCAGGCTTGCCTACAGCCCAGTCTTATGGAGGTATTTTCTCAGTTGAGGGTTCCTCTTCTCCAGTGACTCTAGTTTGTGTCAAGTTGACATAAAACTAGTCAGCATAGTGTCTGAGGCAATCAATGGAGTAAATAAAAACCTACTCAGATTTAAGAAGAAATGAGGCTGGGTGTGGTAGAGTATGCCTGTAGTACTCAGGAGGCTGAGGCAGGAGGATTTTGAGTTCAAATCTATCCTGACCCTGTATTAAAAGGGCGGGGTGGTGGGGGAGAGGTGGGACTAATGGGAGACAAATATTTCACCTTCATAGTGATGAGGCAGGGGGTTACTTAGAACTCATCTCTAGAAGTAATGGTGCGAATGGTGGCTGTGTCTTAGAGCGCTAAAGATGGAATACTGTGGTACTGTAGTCAGAAACCGGAAGGGTTGTGTTTGCCTCAGGAAGTAGAATTCTGGCAAGGGTGAGGCCTACAGTTTCAATGTGAGATGGCGTTGAGGATGAACTCAGTTGGTAGTGTGCTTGCCTAGTGTGCCTGGGAAGCCCTAGGCCTGATCCCTATAATTACACCACTCAAGGGATGGAGGCAGAAGGAGGGCGTGAGGTTGAAGTCCGTCCTTAGCTATATAGTGAGTTTGGGGCCAGCCTGGGCTACATGAGAGGCTGCCTCAAAAATTTTTGTTCACGATGCATGTACAGCTTCCTCTGTGTAAAAGGAAATGTAGACATGCTATTATATCATTAACCATGTATGCATGTATGACTGAATTCTTTTCTGTTTGGGAATCTGTGGCCCATTTTCTGTTTACCTTCTCTTTCAGATGATCGATTTCCTGACTATGGCAAAGTGGAGTTTGTCTTTTCCTACGGACCAGAGAAAATCCAAGGTATAGACCAAGTTGCCTTCCCTTCCCCACACCCTCACCTGTCCGTGTCTCACTCTCAGCGTCTTCATTCTGTCCCTGTGCAAACGTGATGTTCACACTGTCCCTCTGCAAACTCGATATTCACACACTGTCCCTCTGCAAACTCGATATTCACACACTGTCCTTCTGCAAATGCGATGTTCCTTGTGATTTAGAGCAGGCCAAGGTAAAGATCCCAGCTGCACCTCATCCAGCGCCTTACTTTCTATATAATAAGAATAAACACAGACACTGAGGTGACAAGGTGACTAAACTGTTCTGCTCCTCTTAGGTCACCATCTTGTTATAATCAGAAACTGAGGGCCTTGGCAGATGGAAGGGACAGCCAGAGAACATTCAAAAGTGCTGGGTGGATTGTGGGTATTTATGATCTAAAGTGGCTCAACCTGAAGGCCAGTTTAATAATAAACTTCTAGACTCTAAATACAGAAACCAGTTGCTCTTCATCTTATTTGAGAACAAAATGGGAGGAGATGAAGTTAGGTTACAAGTAGAGGGACTCTGGGTAGACTAAAGAAAGGACTGCCAAGCAAGGAAAATAGGCTACCTTGAATGGCCTGATTAGTTTCAGCACTGACTCTGAGGATGTAAAAGAGAACTGGCCTGTTCTTGCAGATGTATGTCTGAAATAGGGGAGAGGGCTAGGCCTGGGATGACCTTTCCAGTCTGTGTCTTTTCAATAACCCACTTGTAATTTCCCTGCTGTCCCACATGGGTGGTTAGGATAAGCCTGTCCCTTATCCCGTCTCCAGTCTCCAAAGCAGAACCTTGCTTCTGCCTCAGGGCCATATATGAAAAAGTGGGTGGGTGCTTGCTTTCTGTAGCATGTTCATGCATATGCTTCTGCATGTGCGTGTGTGCGTGCGTGTGCACGTGTGTTCATGTGTTCGTGTGTGCGTTTGTGTGTGTGTGTGTGTGTGCGTGTGCGTGTGCGTGTGCGTGTGCATGTGTGTGTGTGGTCTTGCTTTTCCATACCTTGTCCTGATTTGCCTCTATGACCTAGTCTGAGACTTCCAGGGTCTGCAGGCAACCCAAGTCATTCTCCCACCCTAGACATCAAGAAAACAAGCTGGTTCCTCAGGGATGGTCCCTAGGAGAGCTCTAGCCTTCTGTTTTACTATGTGTAATCTCTTCTTGTCTCCTGCTGGTTCCCCATAGGCATGGAACACCTGGAGAATGGGCCCAGTGTATCTGTAGACTATAACACTTCCGACCCCCTCATCCGCTGGGATTCCTATGACAACTTCAATGGGCATCGTGAGGATGGCATGGAAGGTAGGTGACCCTTGGCTGCCTGGCTGTCAATGGTATGGCCAGTCCTGGCCTGTGTAGCCTTGGTTCTCTGGAGTATCCATAGAGGAGGTGGCTCTAAGTAAAGCTGCCAATCCTTGTTCCATCTCTTTGGAACCTGCCCTTGGGTGACTCCAGGCTGCTCTCTGTGTTCTTAGAGGTCAGAGCATGCATATATAGATGGAGTATTTGGGATCTAACAGTTTGCAAGAAGATTCAGCAAAAATGTCTGAGAACTCAGTGTAGGGTTCCAAGATGTGAAGAAAAAAAAAGCCACAGAGTGGGTACAGTTCCGGTGCCTACTTAACTTGGCTGGAAACACCAACATGTTCCATACTCAGAGCAGGTGGCTCTGGAGGGGTCTGTAGTGGTCTATTTATTTGTTTGGCTCTTGGAGTATGTAGGAGGGATGAGGGGTGGAGCCTGTGAAATGAGTAACCTTGAGGTGCCTCCTTGGCTCTGGCCCTAGGTTTGTTTCCTGATTCATCCACCGGATGGCAGAGCGTTAGGCTAGTCTAGAGGGTCCCTTGTATCTGTTTTTAAAATTGGGGTAACTGAGATCTTCTGAAAGACAAGATTATGACTTCCCCCTCAGACCCAGGCTGTGCCCTCTTAAGAAAACCAGTGGCAACCCCTCTCCCCACCAAAGCCAGCTAGAGCTTCCTTCTGTGATGGAGTGGTACTGGGGAGGAAAAGCATGGCCTGGCGCTCTCCCTTGTCTACCTGATGTCCCCTGTCACCCTCACCCATGCAGTCTCCTGTATGGCTCTACATCAGTAGATATCAGAGAGGCTGGAAGAGGGAAGATTAGAATTCAGGGGTTCCATGAGAGTGCATTTATATACAGCACCACAGTTTTGGTGGCTTGCCCTTGTATTCTCTCAGGGGGCCTTCACCACCCACTGTGGTCTTGTTCACACATCCAGTTCCTGTCTTCTGAGTGGCCAAGTGGCCTAGCCTGGGGTAGAACTGAGGATGGAATGACTCGTCTCGGAGGCTGTTGCCAGTCTCTTTGTTTCTCATTTTGGGGAAGTTTGCATTTTTAACAAGAACACTTGGCATTTTGAAGGCATTTTTAATGCCTCACCATCTCTCCCTGGTGCAGATGCAATGCAGTGATAAATATAAAAATATTTCATGAGCTCTGAAGTGCCAAGAGAATCAAAGGTAGAATAATTAAGGACCAGAGGGAATGGATGGGTTCAGCCTGAGGGAAGGAAGGAGAACAGCGGGCCAGGATCTGAACAGGGAAACCTTGGGTAGCAGGTGGGTTCAGAGGTCAGGGAGGACAGACAAGGGAAGGTCATGGCTGCCTCTGGAGCCCTCAGCCCATGATCTAATTCCCTAGCAAAGAGATGGAGCTGGCAGGACCTTGGGCCAGTTAAAAGGTCAGCTGGTCCTATCAGGACAGAGGGGCTTCTATTTGCAGGCATAGAAGCTGGCCCTCTGCCCATAGAGGGGCAGATCAGGGCTCTGCTGTCCGTTTCCTTGCCTGGCCTGACTGAGCCAAGGCAGGGATAGTTGCCAGGGAATAGCTGTTCTGTACTCTGACTGTGTGCTTCTTGCTGCCTGCCCCTGGACTGCATTCCCACTGGGCCTAGGGACCCCAGGGCTAGCCCAAAGCTTAAGACAGTACTGGGTTTCAGTACAATTTCTGGCTGAGGCCCAGAGGAAAAAAAGACACTTTTTTGTGGCTAATGGTTAAGAGAAGAAAGCATGGACCTCTTGTCCCCTTAGTTGTGGGGAGCATGTGGTTCATCTCTGCCTAGTCTGAGAGCAGGAGACAGTAAAGGAGCAGAGGAAAGAGAGGGGAGCCCATATTGAAAATAGGCTCTGATCGGGGATTGTGGCCAGAAAGTACCTGACATCTCAGGGACTCTTTGGTGGAGGGTCTATTGTTTTAGTTATCTTGGGTCACCATAAAAAGGTACCACAGATGTCCCTTAAGGGACAGAAATGGTGTCTCATTGCTCTGGGACTGGATTCTGAGGCCAGGGCTGGTGAACCTTCGACCTGCCCCTTTAGCATGCATACTCTTGCCATTGCTGTCCGTCTGTCCTCACGTGTCTCCCTCTGTGTCCTCTTCATGTGGGGCCATAGACTTAATGGAGTAGGACCTGCTGTCGTGATTTTCTTTTGCTGTAGTCAACTCTCTCTTCATGTAGCCACTGTACTCTGCAGCCTGTACCCCAGAGGGGATGGCTCAACCCTGGTTCCTGACTGAGGAGAAGTTAGGATCTTGGGTTTCTTGGGTTATGGAGGAGAGCTGTCTGGTCCCTGCTTCTCTCCTCCTCAAATCTGCCTCCACCTCCCTCAGGGTTGGTATAGAGCCTGCCAGCTTGGCCTTGGCTGACACCACAGTGTGAGCCTCCAGGAGTCCCATTAGCTCCTTGGCCTTGAGTTCTGAGCCCCATGCCCAGGTCCCAGCACCCCTTGGGGCGGGGCCAGGGCTTTGATTTTTGCCTATGCTGCACAGAAAAGTGTCCAAATTCTTCCAGAGGGTTCCAAGACACCACTCTCTGAAACAAGTTTTAGTAACAGGATGGGGATGGCCTCTGTTTCTGAGGAGCCAGGAAGCCAAGCTGCCCCGGTGCCCTCTGCTTGATGTCTTCTGACTCCTTGGCCATCAAGCTGTTGGAAGTAAGGCTAGGGAACCAGGGATGGTGCTGGGTAAATGGGAGCAGGGAAGCAGATTCTCAGACTGGAAGTCAGGGTGAAGGGAGAAGAAAGTTCATCCCAGGGCTAGTGGGGATGCAAGGATTCTGGTATCCATTGCTTCTGGGTTTTCCTTGTACAAGGAACCCAAATGAGCCAGGGCAGATGACCAGGGGTTTGGTTTGATATCCACGCTTTCTTGGTGTTCTGAGCTCTGAGGAGAACTGTATGTTTTCTTAGGGGAGAGTTTTAACCCTCTTCAGTTCTTCTGTCTCAGCTGAGAAGAGTCTGTCTACAGCCAGGAGTCCCTTATCTGGGTGACTATGGAGGTGAGGTTGTTCAAGGACTGACTTCTTTTTTTGAGAGAGATGGGATAGGGGAGTGGGGAGGGAAAGATACTACACAGGCAGCAAGTGAGAAGAGAAATACAGAGGAATGACACAGATGGAGAGGAAGATTTGGGCCAGCCTGGCTTAGGAGGCCTGAGACTTGGGTCATGAGCATTCCTGGTGACCCCTTCCTGAGGCTCTTCAATTTTAGTCCCTATAGAAATAGGATGTAGGAATGGACAGCATTTCTTCTCATTTTGAGCTCAAACAGTGTTTCCTTTGAGGTTATGAGAGGCTGTGGTGATCCTAGCTTCTCAACTCTTGAGCTCCAGGTTAAAGAAAAGGCAGAGCAGTTGCATCAGTCAGCATAGGCCAACAGATGCTGCAGTAACAAACAGCTCCATTCAATGGCTTTCTCCAGCCAAGCATACTCCCTGCTCAAGGTATCTGTCCATAGATGATGATAAGAGGCCTCTGTTCCTTATGGTTTTCCTAGTGAGGGTGGCTTCATCTACAAGTTTCTCTCATTGCTGCCACCACAGGAAGAGGACTCTGATGTGCACTAGGCTCCTGCCAGGAACTGACGTGTTCTTTCTTCTCACATTTCATTGGCTAAAACAAACCAAGGTCTATGTCTAGCTATCTAGCTCCAAAGGGAGCTAGATTGTACATACATATAAGACAGAAAACTTGAGAGCAGGTGGAATAGAGCACTCTGTACTGTAGAGTCAGTGGTGTGGAATCTAGAGTCTGTGGTTTGTGTGTAAAGCTGTGGTCCTTGGTGTAGCCATTGTGCCTCTTCTGAGACCATGTGTGTTAAACAGGTGCCGTAACAGGACCTTCCACCTACAAGTGGTGTTCAGAGTCAGTGAGGGTCAATGCCAGAAGTTCAGTGTTTGCTAAGTGCTGAGTTGGCAGGTCTCTGGGTCTGTGGTGGCCATGCATCTGTGGAAACTGTGCCGGAGTAGAGAAGACAAAGACGGGGTTTTAGGAGTCCCACCCTCTTCAGAGGTCCCTGTCCCTTTTCCCTCTACTCTTTGGGAATCATCTACATCTGGGCTCTAATCCTCTTTGAGACTCAGGACACTTGCCTCCAAGATCAGGAGAGTTACCCTTCCCCCTGCCTTCAGATTTCTTATCAATCAGTTTAAGGGGGCTGGATTTCTAAAGGGGCTTCCAGCTCTAAACCAACCATGATGATGGTGCTGCTGCTGATGGCGTGGTGGTGGTGGTGACTGTGACAGAGTGATAGCACAATTCAGGGTGCTGGGTACTTTTGTTTAACCCTTCCTCCCCCAAATATCATTAGCCAAGCACTGTCTTGTTACCTGTAGACAGAGCTGGACCATGTAGGGAGTAATCATGAAGCCACTTGGTTTTGTTCTTCTCTGTCCTATGTGCTTCTCTGCACTTCTCCAACCCCATGATGATAAGACCAGTCCTGTCTTGTCTCTGATTACTCTGACACAATGGAAGACCTAAAGTGATGGTAAATTCAGACTACAAATCAGAGTTGGCTTCTTGCCTGGTCATCACTGTGTGCACACATGTGTGGCTGTGGCAGGTTATATGTGTTTGTGTGATATGCATGTGCACACATGTATGTGTTTGTGTGCATGTATGTGTACTCACAGAACATAGAAAGTTTACTAGTCCTAACTTGAACATTTCAAGGTAGGAAGAAAAGAGGTTATACACATTCTAGAACTTGCTTACCTGGCACCATTGAGAGGTTGGGCAAATCATCTATGGAATCGGAGGTCTGTAAATGTATGACTTTTGAGTTCCTTGTCATCAGGTCTGGAAACTTCTCATGCAGCCTAGCAGCTTCTCTGGCTGTAGCTCCCGTGCTGTTTCCCACTCCCTCGTGGTGGGAGGCCAAACCTTCAAACGTTCATGGCTCCTTCTAAACCCATGTGCTTTTTACTCCCTCCAGCCTCTCCCACCAGGTGATCCCCAGGGATAGGGTCTGAGGCAGCTCAGGCCATATCAACCTTGTAC